TATGCAGAAGGGATATTATCGGATATTATGCTAATGGTGCAAATATTTAATTAGGTTTTCTTTTTATTTATCTTTCTGTTTGATCAGTAAAGTCGTATTGTGCTAATGATGCGAATAATTTGTGAATGTATTTGTAATTTGTCTTAGTGAATGTTATTTTTGAAAAAAGTTAAATCAAGAGTTTTTTCTGAATTGTTGCTGAGCGAAGCGAAGCACCCTGTTGGGGAATTTAGACATCCCAATTGTTTCCCCCCCCCCATGCCTTTAGTTTCCTAGATAGGTATCTTATTATTGATCTTAATCCTATATCCATATATGCATACATAGTCCAAGGTCAATAGTCCAACCTCTATAGTGTAAGCTCTATAGTGTAAGCTCTATAGTGTAAGCTCTATAGTCCAAGCTCTATAGTCCAAGCTCTATAGTCCAAGCTCTATAGTCCAAGCTCTATAGTCCAAGCTCTATAGTCCAAGCTCTATAGTCCAAGCTCTATAGTCCAAGCTCTATAGTCCAAGCTCTATAGTCCAAGCTCCATAGTCCAAGCTCCATAGTCCAAGCTCCATAGTCCAAGCTCCATAGTCCAAGCTCCATAGTCCAAGCTCCATAGTCCAAGCTCCATAGTCCAAGCTCCATAGTCCAAGCTCCATAGTCCAAGCTCCATAGTCCAAGCTCCATAGTCCAAGCTCCATAGTCCAAGCTCCATAGTCCAAGCTCCATAGTCCAAGCTCCATAGTCCAAGCTCCATAGTCCAAGCTCCATAGTCCAAGCTCCATAGTCCAAGCTCCATAGTCCAAGCTCCATAGTAGAACTTAAACGGAATAAAGAGCTAAGTCCAAAAAATGCACCAGAGGAACCAACACTCTCTGCTGACAATAGTTCCACTTGACATGTCTCCTAATTCCACTTCGTTGAAGAAATATAAGTTGAGATGACTCTGTTTTCCATTTTAGCGAAAAGTGATAAGTCACAGATATCCTATACGCAGTGACCTGACACTCATGATGTTCATCTCAAAATTTAACTTACATTTTTTGAACTTGTTATCATCTATAACATTCCATTGTTCAGTTTTAGATTTCCCTGCTAACAGTTTTTTGTTGCTCCTGAAAAATGGTCAAAATGGAGTTATTCCCTTCTTCTGCTTCCTGGATCATTTTCCCTGCAAGGTAACAAAATTGTGTTCCATCTGGAACAGGCAGCCCGGGAGTAGACATAACGGAACCAAATTTTGTCCTGATTCTGTTGACATAATTGCCTACAGATTAAAGCCTCGTTCGGACGAGCACCCGAGTTCTAACCGAGGTTTCAGGGGAGGTTTTTACTAACTTTATACAAGGTAGGTTTACGCCAGACCGCGTCTTGTCGTAACAGGCTTGGCGATGTCTCGCTGCCTGTTCCTCCAATCCACGCCTGGCGTACCTACCTTGGCCTGCGGCGCTAGTCTGCCTTCGGCAGGCAATGGCTTGTCCATCGTCGGTTACTTCTTACTTGATGCATGCTGGGGGGCTCCGCCCCCCAGACCCCCCTTCATTCTAGATCCCTTGTGACTTTTTAACTTGTCGGGGCTGGCCTTCTCTAAGGCAGAGGTGATCTGCCTGCAGAAAACTCGATTTTTCGCCGTTTTTTAGGTGTTTTTCGGCTATAAAAACTGAACCAGTTGAGCTAGGATAGTGAAATTTCGCGTGTGCCGAGCCAAGGACATGCCCAAAAAGTGCGCATAATCTCACCGAGATCGGCCGAGCCGTTCAGGAGGAGTAGTGCGGACACACACGCACACACGCACACAGACAGGAAAAACTTTTCAACCCCAATGGAGTAACAGGGTTCGCTATCGCTCAACCAATAACGTGTTAGAGTTTAGAGGTTTTCCCTTGGTTCTAAATAATCCTGGTCAGTCTCTAATAGCCTTCGTGCGTTTCTTGTGAGCTGCCACGGCCTCCTAGATCACGAAAGAAATTCACGGTGGTCTTCTGAACAACCGCTAGAGAGCAACACGACAAAAACCGAAATAAGTGCGCTTTGTCTCGATTTTCCTTCATGACTCATACTACCCCGTTCTACGGTAACCGCACGAACAAAACAAGAAATTCCACGCCCTTTTCTTGGGTGAAAGGACGGGAGCCAGGTCGAGCCGGTCTCATTGCCACTTGCCGCACCGCAACTGAAGTCTTAAGTGTCTGCTGCTATGTTTACTTCTTTCTTCTCAAAAGTAAGTGTATCTGTACTGTCAGTTTGTGTCATTAGTAAGGTTATCATGGACAGGACACGGAATGCCCTTGAGGATTAATAAGGAAAACTGGCGTTCCAGGATCTGCAAAATGACCAGTGAGTTTCCAACCTTGATACAGGAGAAAAATCACCCACAGGCACTGGCTTGTAAGGGAAAAAATTGACATGAAACACCTCCCCATCGGGTGTAAGGTCGTCCGGTTTTATTTCTTTCCCCCAGCCAAGAGTGAAGACGAAGATAGCAAAAGTGGCATAGTGGGTGGTGACCCTCACCTGCAACACCAGGTCTCAGGCACAAATCTCGGCAAATTCCGCCCGGAGAGTGCGTTCATTCGCATTTAACAACTTCAACCGCTTCGATCTGCCTTCGAATTCGACAATAGAAGCCATTGTACAACTTTCGATGATACTCCAGGAGCGTTTGGAACCTCAGTGAAATTGGGCTTTCAGTAGCTCCAGTAGACGATGGAAGAACTCATGGGCGCCTTCTTGCTAACCACTGACTAGGCAAGGTGAACTGGAATCAAAATAATTCGTTTCCCGATGTCCGTTGAAATTTTGTTCCATTAAACTGTAACATTAAATAGCTGGTAGTTGATACATGATACGTCTCAAAGCAGCAACAAGTCGATAACGCCTGCCCTGCAATATCCTTGCTGGTCAGAAATATTCAGCAGCAGACTGACTACGAAGACTGCATGTAATACATGTTCTGACTCACCCAACCCTTGTTCCAATATGCTAATTATTCTTTAAAATTTTTGCGAAAAGTGGAAGATATAATAGAGCCTGGAACACATCAATACAAAAGAAGACATTATTCTTTGTCACGTCATCAAAACCCACATGACAATAAATTGTAAGTATCAGATAAATCACCTGAACGACAGCGTTAATGAAGCAAGTATTTTTAATATTTACGAATCCGTATTTTAACGATGGGATATAATTCCAATCAAATCTATCACATGGTGCTGACAATGGGGATAAGTACTTAATTCTTCAAAAGCAACATCTTGAGCTCTTTCCGTCATTGGCTTCTTGAACCTACTTGTTAAATTTCTAAATAAAAGAAAAGAATGCGCCAATGTGCTATGCATGGTCACAACAGTTAAACAGGACAAACATTACCTCTTTGAGTTCTTCATAAGATTCATTGAGTTTTTTCTTCTCATCACTTAATTGTTTAACAGCCACATCAAGAGAGCAAATTTTGTCGTCTTTCTCAGTGCTTGCCACAACCTACCTGTTGAATTTCTACAGAAAAGAAGGGATCGTGACGGAAACTATATGTACTGAACTGTCGCAGTAATCTGTTAAACAAAATATGGACATCACCTCAATTAATTTTCATGTGCCTCAAGGTTTTTCTTGTCGGTTACCCGTTTTCGTAACTCGTCAAATTTCTGAAATAATATGAAAGCTGAACTACGATAGTGACATACGTGCACATATGATAAGAATGTCGAAGGTAATACCACTTTAAAATCTAAGTGTTGGGCCTCCAAAACATTATAGGCAATCAGCTTCGCTTCTGATGCATTAAGGGGGCAATACACTGAAAATGGCCCAAAACTGAGTTGTGTGATTGCTTCCATACAGCGACCGCGGAAGTGGGGTGCAGGGGGGGCGGCTGGCCCCCCCTGAAATGGAACGGGGGGGGGCGCCGCCCCCCCTGTTTTTACCGTTGTAGCGTCGCAAATTTCTGTATAGTGTCCAAATTTTAACCAAAACACGCTAATATTTTCGTAAATTCGCTGGCTTTCAGCTCGCTTTGCTCGCCTTTCTTGGTACTTTCCACTGTTTGATGACTTTTAACTGTAGTGCTCCATTATAGCTTGTATTTTTCATATTTCGATGGCGTTTAGCTCGCTTCGCTCGCATTTCACTGACTTTGAGGGTCAAAAGCGGCCTCCTAACTATTGTAAATTCCACATTACACACGGCAAAAGTACCGCCTGGGATTCCCAGGCGGTGCCTGGAAAATAGGCCCTTTTTCCCATGATGCGCCTGGGAATCCCAGGCGGTACTTTTGCCGTGCACGCATCTTATTAGCCCCCCCTTTTTCCCTGACACCCCCCCCCCCTTAACAGAAAAGTCTTGCCCCCCCAGTCATGAACTACTTCCGCGGTCCCTGGCGTTGTTGTGCGTTGTTCAAACTTTTCATGTGTCAAGGCCTTACAAATAGAAGCATTTCAAGCCCAGAATGGTGTCGATCGGACGTCAGGAAACGGAGCAGCAACCAATCAAATTTTCGTCAAAAGTCGAACTGGCGGGCGTCCCTCAGTCCGCTAAAATGAAGATATCTCGACCCCGTTTGCGCCAAAATATAGGCAATTGAAGCGGCCATGGCATGAACTAGGATTATGAACATCGAACAATCAAAAGTACAAAATTTTGCAAAAAAAACCTGTTTTGAACATTTTTGCAAAATCCTCAAAAAGTGTTTTTGGATGAAATTTTGTACTTTCGGTTGCTCGATGCCATATACGCTTCAATTACCTACATTTTGGCGCAAACGGGGTCGAGATATCTTCATTTTTGCGGACTGATGGATGCCCGCCCAGTTCGACTTTTGACGAAAATTTGATTGGGCGCTGCTCCGCTCCCTGACGTCCGATCGACGCCATTCTGGGCTTAAAATGCTTCTTTTCGTAAGGTCTTGACACATGAAAAGTTTGAACAACGCTCAACAATGCGTATGGGAAAATTTTATTGAAGAAACCTGACCGGCAGACTGGTGAAATTCGATATAATATGGCAATTACCTACACTCTTTTGGTTATATCCACACAAGCATAGTGCTATCAGTATCGCATGTGTCACAAACTATCATCCACCTAGGACCAAATCCACAGTTATAATAAACAAAGAAATAATTAAGAAAACAGTCCTAAGCCGCGAAACTCACCCGTCATCTGCTTCCCGGCAGAAACAAGAAGGGAGCATCTTGGCCAAAATTGATCCAGCGGCAATGGCAATTCAAACGGCAGGCTGCAGAGCGCTAGTCAGGACCAGGTTTGCGCGACAGCTCGGGGTAGCCAATAGGGAGACAGGATCCAGCCCCCCTACACAACTTAAGTAAGGAACGAAATCTTGCAAGAGTTTACCCGAAAAATTTTGCGTAACGTTACGCTGTCAGAGGCGGTGCGGTGGGAATTCTGGCCTAGCGTAACGTTGCGGGAAGGGGCAGACACCTTAATATGGCATGTGCTTCTAAAGTTCTGAAGTTGAGGTATCGTCTGCTACAAAGCCAGAGACAAGCAGCGCGCCACCTAGCGGCCGGTTCTGTGAACAGTCGAAAGCTGGGCCTTGATTGATTGGTCAAGAGTGTAGGTCTCAACGAATTTGACAGTACCGGCCGTTGGTCGTTGGCGTTCGGTGGCGCGCCGAGCAGCTGTGGTTCCTCATTTCCTTTTGTCCTTCAGTCGGCGACGACTGCACACTGTAAGGGGAAGTCGTATTTTTACAACTTTATTTTACATGAATACCATCGTAATTTTACAACATAAATTCGTTATTTTACGAACGTATTCGTTTATGGCCAAAAACAAAGAGAAATTTCACAATTTTACACAGATTTTTACGGTTAACCTTGTAAAATTACGAACTATAGATGTAATTTTACGAAAAATGTCGTCATTTCACGAACGAAAGTTGTCATATTACAAGCATTATCGTAATTTAACAAGTTGAATTGTAAATAAACGAGTAATTCCCTGTTAATTCTATAGGACAAAGTGTTCGTAAAATTACAAAACTTTGTTAAATTACAAAGAAAAATCGCAATTTAACCAGAAAAAATCGTAAATTTACAAAGAAAGTCGTAAAATTTTCAAGGTACATTATTAGTTCTATTTTTACGTTTTTTCGTCGAGGCAAACTAAGACCAACCTGAAAATGATATGGTTGAAGATATGAATTATAACGACTTTACTCATTAACTTACGAACAATTTGTACTATAGAATTAACAGGGGATTACTCGTTATTTTACAACAAAATCCCTAACAGTGCAAGGGTCCATCTCGTCTCGTGTTTCGCCACGAGACCGCGAGCTTACGCGCAATCAAGCATGCTTACACGAGAGAACCGACTGTAGCAACAATCAAAGCGGCGTTTGAGACCATTTGCACTAACAATTCATATCAGTGAATGCAGATAGAGTCTTATGACCTCAAGACGCGCTTAGGTTGATTCAAGCGGCAGAATTTCTCATGTTGGGCATGATTGGACCGCGAGCTTACGCGCAATCAAGCATGCTAAAGCGAGAGAACCGACTGTAGCAACAATCAAAGCGTTTGAGACCATTTGCATTAACAATTCATATCAGTGAATGCAGACAGATTCTTATGACCTCAAGACGCGCTTAGGTTGATTCAAGCGGCAGAATTTCTTATGTTGGGCATGATTGAGTGATTTCTCGTTGCACGCGATCTCTTAGCGCAATACGGCGCTGAGTCGACTTCGGTTCCAACGGTACAACTCTGTTCTAATACTCGAACTGTTCTTCTTACAGGTATCTTTCTTCACTCGTGCCGCTTCGCGGAGTACGCCACAGGCTTCCCTGAGCCAGCAACATTCTCCCTCCTACCTGTCGGTGACTCGACTGACAGCCAGGCGCTGCATACAGCTGGCTTGGTCGCTCCTGATTTCGCGCCCGACGCTGAGACATCGAGTGCTTCGCTTGAGCAAACCTGTTTCTCCCCGGTGGAGGGAGAGACGTTGTCAGCAAGATGGAGGACGACGGAACTGTGAGTTTTTATTTATGTGATTTGGAGCGGAATGGACACGTCGTGATACACTAGAGAAACGAAGGCGTCGTAGCTTTGCCCCGAGGGCGCGAAAGATTTACGCCCCCGGAAAGGCGTGAATCGTTTAGTGCCTTCGAAATGGCAGTAGAATTGTGCCCGAAAGTCCTATCACGTTGAAAACGGTTCCTGGTTTTCCCAGGAACTCCCTGGAAAGTGCCTATGCTTCTACCCTAGGCTTCCTGGGAAAACCAGGTAACGTTTTGAACGTGATCCTAGTTCACGCCCTTCCTGCGTGCATTCAACCATTCTCGCCCTTGAAGGGCGCAACACTTTGCGTCAGGCCGACTCCGGAAGTAACCTCAGCGGAATCGGAAATGGCCATGGTTGAGCCGGAAGTGGGCACGTTTCGGTCTATATAAGCGCCTCTTTTTTGGCATTTTATTTATTTGGACCGTAATGTGTTCACCTCCGGTGCGACCATGGCCATTTCCGGTTCCGCTGAGGTTACTTCTGCTATTGACCGGACTCAATTACTGCGTGTGTTGTTTTGAGCGCTAATGCACGAAATTAAACATGCGCTTTCCAACGCACTAACTTGTGCGCAACTTAGTGCGTGTTTTTCGCACGTTGCATGTGCAGTAAAACCTACATACCGTGAAAGCGGGTAATATGGACCACCAGTGGGTAATGTGGACCACCCCTAAAACTCTTCTATGTGATCGGTGATGCCGCCTACCAGTGGTATGGAAAACTGCGTCGGTCACTAGCATCCGAACTTGTAAGTTACTTGGCTTGAACCGATCATTTAGGAAGATTTTAGGGGTGGTCCACATTAGCCACTGGTGGTCCATATTACCCGCATTCACGGTAGTAATTTAGTGTGCAGATCTTTAGAAGCATTCTTGTTCATAAACTGAGGGCTAAATTGTTCACGAATGTGGACTAGTATGTCCGTAACAAAGTTCTCAAAGAAGTCTACTACGGCACTTTTTAGATTAGGGAACAAATATGTCCATAAGCCATAGACTTCATTTGTTTCCAAGATCTGGAGGCAACGTTATCGTCTAGTGTCCTACTGATGGACAAAATTTTAAACAGCCATTATATTGTCTCAATGTCATGGACAATTATGTATAGATTTGGTAACGCTTAAAAAGGTTTCCACCTTGGTTGCGATATTGTCCCTGGAGTTTGTCCATAGAAATTTTTGCTTCCAACTACGACTGAAATAGTGCATAAACATTCTCAATTAAGTGCTCTGAGCCTGTTATGGACATCCGAATTGTCCCTAAGGAATGAACTGGGGAGAAACTGAAAGGAGTGCCTTTGGGAAAAAAAATGATACCGAAGGTGGCTTAGTAAATTAAATTCAAAAAGATTCTTCGTACACGCTCAGACCTATATGAACTTTTTTCTCTCTTGCTTATAGCGGTTTTTGAGCAAACGTAAAATGTACTATTTCCTTCTTAACTATGCACAATTTTGATCGTTTTAGGGATATAATTGTCAATGGAGCATATAGAAATTGAAAAGTACATTGCAAATGACATTAAGTCCAGTTTAATGGACTATAAACATTATACAACGATCAAAATAGTGAATAGCCAAAGAGAAAATAGTACATATTACGTTTGCACAAAAACCTTTATGGCAAAAGATAAAAAGTCAATACGAGTCTGAGAGTGTACATCGTCAAGGAATCCTCGTAATGTTACGATGAATCTTCGTGAGTTTAAGAAGAAAATCAATCTGAGTGAGTGTAAGTAGAATCTGAGTGTCAGAAGAACCTTTGTGTATTTAAGAAGGTACCCTGATCCACCGATTTGACTTGAGGTTCCTCGGACCACAAAATATTTTCTTCCTTAGAAGGGCATAATATGCACGGGCCCACTTACCTCTTTTAGACAGGAAAGTGCCTCAAGAGAAAATTTTTAGAGATTTTTTCAGAACACTCATTTATTGGCTATTTTCACAGAATCTTCGTGAGTTTAATAAGAAAATCAATCTGAGTGAGTGTAAAAAGAATCTGAGTGTCAGAACAACCTTTGTGTATTTAAAAAGGCATCCAGGTACCCTGATTCACCAATTTGACTTGAGGTTGCTCGGACCACAAATTATTTTCTTTTTTAGAAAGGCATAGAATGCACGGGCCCACTTACCTCTTTTAGGCAGGAAAAGGCCTCAAGAGAAAATTCGTAGAGATTTTTTTCAGAACACTCATTTATTGGCTATTTTCACAATCTACACGATGAACAAGTTTTATTTTTTCTTGTATAAAGTTTTCAACAAGATTTGCGCACGGCACTATATTGTCTGCGATCTTGTTTATTTATTGCCCTGTGTCCGCAGTAAAACATCACTGGGAACATGGGCCTCTTATCCGCAACTCTAAAACTAGTCAAACCGACATGCTCTATTGCCTGGCAAAATGTCTACGCTAAGAAATGTTTAACACGAAGATCTCATTTCAGCCCACTTGAAAACTTAAAAAAGTTCGGGTCCACCATACCTCTTTTCAAAACTTTCCAAGCAGGATGAAGAAAAATATTGCTTACTACAGTCGTACTTCTACAGTAATTTCGATTTTGGCCCTCCGATGTCCGATGTTTCGCGATCGCACACTGCTTCTTCCCGTTTGTTACTGGATGATGGAGGGAACCCACTCAACGAGAGTTGAAATGTCTTTCATTTAGTCTCCGTCAACAGCATACTTTGGCTAAATACAGTCCATTGAAGTCAAAATCGAGGAAAAGTATTATAAAATCTAGGATCTTCGTCGACCTGACCCGAGACATTTTTTACTCTCAACACGCCTATTTGAATATAACTCACAGAAAAAAAACACAACAAAGGTGAAGTCAAACGTGCGCTCACAAAAGTTTTTTAAAAAAGGTGAACCCTCAACCCTACTCGGTAGGGTGGCCCACGAAATTTTTTTTTGAAAGATATCGATGAGCGCCGTTCAGATTCTGAAAGAGGGTCCCAAAAAACGAAGATCGGTGCAAAGCAAACTTTTTTTGGACAATATTTACCCCCCGCTCAACGGCCCTGAATATTTAGTCTCAAGAGGTACACGCACCAATACACGGTTAGTGGCGCCAAATCTCGAGTTTTCAACCGATTTTTGATTTCTTTACGCACATTTCCTTGGTATACTGCGTAGAATGCAATGCTCTTTAGTGGAACTACGTGCAACGCACTGCCTAGTTTTCAGGGGCGCCAAAGTCACGTTTTTTATCAAGTTTTAGAGTTTTTCGTCAGTTTTGAGGGTGTTCCCGTCATCGGATCACGTTCGTAGTGCCACCATTCGATGCGCCGGATCAAATACCTTCCGGATTAGTACCTGGAACCGCGATCGGACTGTTTGCCTAGCTGCCAGGGGCATAAAATGAATTTTTAAGTGAATTTTAACGTTGTTTTGTCAGCTTTCAGGATGTTTCCATCACCGGATCAGATTTCTAGGCCCGCCAATAGACGCACCGGCCCAAGTTAGCTACGAGAAGGTGCCGAGAGCACCGATCAACTGGATTTCCTAGTGTACATGGGCATAAAACGTGAAAATGGATTGATGAATCTCCTCAAAAACGTGGAAATTGCAATTTTTGTAGCGCAGCTGTGGCTGAACCGTCGAGCCGCTCCGACAACTGATAACAAATGATAACTGTCATTTACTGTTAAGGATAAAGGAGTAATAAGAACAAATCGGATTTGCCTCTTAGCAGATTCGGAGAAGTTTATTCCGACAAGAAAATAGTCCAAATTGATACAACTTGTGGTGGGTATCATCGGGTGGAAAAATCGCAGTTACGTTCATTCGAGTTGATCACAGAGAAAAATTAAAAACTAAAAAAAAATAAAAAAAAACATCACAGCACTTAAATTTGAAATAAACAAGCCAAATATTAAAACTCAATTTTAACACTTTGTACATCACCCTAATTTGCTGTAGGGCATAACTTTCAGTGAAGTTCCACAATCCGATTTGTTCTTATTACTCCTTTATCCTTTACAGTAAATGACAGTTATCATGTCGGAGCGGCTCGACGGTTCAGCCATAGCTGCGCTACAAAAATTGCAATTTCCACATTTTTGAGGAGATTCATTGATCCATTTTCACGTTTTATGCCCATGTACACTAGGAAATCCAGTTGATCGGTGCTCTCGGCACCTTCTCGTAGCTAACTTGGGCCGGTGCGTCTATTGGCGGGCCTAGAAATCTGATCCGGTGATGGAAACATCCTGAAAGCTGACAAAACAACGTTAAAATTCACTTAAAAATTCATTTTATGCCCCTGGCAGCTAGGCAAACAGTCCGATCGCGGTTCCAGGTACTAATCCGGAAGGTATTTGATCCGGCGCATCGAATGGTGGCACTACGAACGTGATCCGATGACGGGAACACCCTCAAAACTGACGAAAAACTCTAAAACTTGATAAAAAACGTGACTTTGGCGCCCCTGAAAACTAGGCAGTGCGTCGCACGTAGTTCCACTAAAGTGCATTGCATTCTACGCAGTATACCAAGGAAATGTGCGTAAAGAAATCAAAAATCGGTTGAAAACTCGAGATTTGGCGCCACTAACCGTGTATTGGTGCGTGTACCTCTTGAGACTAAATATTCAGGGCCGTTGAGCGGGGGGTAAATATTGTCCAAAAAAAGTTTGCTTTGCACCGATCTTCGTTTTTTGGGACCCTCTTTCAGAATCTGAACGGCGCTCATCGATATCTTTCAAAAAAAAATTTCGTGGGCCACCCTACTACTCGGGCTATCCTCTGCCAAGACGTCAACCTGCCATGTCACCAGGCAGAGTCAATCTGCTTGACACACATGATCAGGCAGGTTTCGTAGAGACACGCCTGGCCTTAAGGGGAGGTTCTGGTGAAAATCTTGCCATTTCCCAAGTGGATCCCAGTGTCATAATTTGTTCGGAATATAAAATCTTTCTTCGAGGAGACTAAAATTTGATTTTTGAAGGCACATCCCAGGCTCCGAATCCAGT